CATTAGTCTGGAAAATTAAAGCTTGATAAAGTTTGGAGAACTCTACAACCAACAAATGTTTCAGGGAACCATGCTTCTTCTATCACATGTCTTAGAACTTTCAAAGTCAACAGTGAATCCCACTGGAAGTCTTAGGGGTTAGGTCTGGAAGTGACGTACACCGCCTTTGGTTTATTTTTAGGCACATGGCAAAATTCCCAAGTTCAATTCCAAACTGAAGATATAATCTCCCAATGGGCTCAGAGAAGAGGAAACTGGACTGGTGAGCATCTACCCATCTCTGCCACACATAAACTAGGAAAACACTGCATGCCTACTGAGGACCAAGAATGAAATAAAGTAGAATGAAAGGACTGAACGTGACTAAGGGAGTGAGGAGTAAAATATTAGCTAGATTTTTCAGGCACTGCCTCTCTGAAGAGGTAACATTTGAGCTAAGAGAGATTAGAATGAGCTAGACATGTAAAAATCGGAGAAGTAATACGGGGAGTCCATGGAGAAGGTAGTGGAAAGACCTTGGAGTGGCAATAAGTGTGGCGTGTTTGCAGAATAGTGAGAAGACTGGTGTCGCTGAGGAGATAGGGAAAGGGAGAGTGGGAGTATACAGCCAAAGAGGTAGGCAAGAGTCTCATCTTGCAAAGGCCACACAGTAAGAAGTTTGGGTTTTATTTTTTCAACAAGGGGAAGACGTCATTGTATTTAAAGCAGGAAATCTGATTATCTGATTTACATTTTAAAAATGTGTTTGGCTATTGTGACATGAGTAATTATTATGGGGTAAGACAGGGTAAATTAGGAGGCTTTTGCAAGAGTATGAGAAATGACCATAGTAATACAGATAGAAAGAAGTGGGAAACAAATATATTCTGGAGGAAAGGCTTATCAGACTTTCTGGTAGATTTAACGGTGGGAATTGCAGGGTGAGAGAATGAGGAATTTTTTAAATGACTCCTAGGCTTTTAGCTTAAGTAAGTTCACACAGATTTGGTACTTTCGCAAAAATAAGGAAGGTAAGGAGAAGATTAGGTTTTCTGCGGGGAAACCAAAGTTATTTTTTGGACAGATGAAAATTTGGAGAAACTTATTATATATTCAAGCTCAGGAGAGACGTCATGGTAGAGACACCATCATATGTAAAGTATTTAAAGCCAGAGAATGGAAGAAGCCACCTGCAAATGAGAGTGAAAAGAGGCAGCTGTAAAGTTGAGTCTAGGGCCAACCTATCAATCAGAAATCTGGCCAGAGAGGAGCAGCTCACTGAAGATGCTGAGAAGGATATGAGCCTGGGGGTCAGCAGGAATACTAGGAGCTCGCAAATAATAGGAGTCAGGAGAGAAAAAGCAGGAGTGGTCAGTTGTACTAACTGCAGCTCAGAGGTGAAGAAAATGAGAACGAGTGAGTGATGATGGGTGGTGGACATGGGGTGTGGCTAATGACTGGCAAGAGCAGTTTTGGGAGAGGAAAGCAAGAGAACCTGATGGCAGGAGAGAATGGCAAGGACAAGTGGAGGCTGTCAGTTAAGTCTGCACTTTTGTCAGCCTCCTTAGAGACAATGAGCAGGATATGAAGAAACAGCATAGGTTTGATGGGGACTTTTCTGGATAAGAAAGAAAAAATGTTAAACAATGGTGAAACGCTATCTCTACTAAAAATACAAAAATTAGTCAGATGTGGTGGCGGGCGCCTGTGGTTCCAGCTACTCAGGAGGCTGAGGCAGGAGAATCCCTTGAACCTGGGAATCAGAGTCTGCAGTCAGCCGAGCTCACACCACTGCGCTCCAGCCTGGGCAACAGAGTGAGACTCCATCTAAAAAAACAAAACAAACAAACAAACAAGTAGTGGCCATCACTGGAAGACATGTTGTAGGCTGATGGGAAGCAACCTGTAAGAGTAGAAGAAAGACATCTACCTAAATCAGAGCTTAAAAACTCTCTTAACTAATTTCATTTAAAATCTTTCTGGTTCTTTGACCTATGAAACCATACTCTATGAAAATACAAACTAGTAAGACATCACTGATTTTTAAATTACCTGGATTTTAATATGCATTTATTTTCTTATGACCTTGTTAGAAAAACATTATAAAAATACATTTTGATAAATCTGTTTTTCCAGAGGAAAAAATACATAATTATTCTACACTTAAACACAATCTAGCTACTTATTTTCATATTTAAGTTTATAGCAATTATCCTAGGTCATGCATGTCATGCATTTTGCCCCAATCATGGGACATATAGTTGTGTATTACTGGCAAAATTGTATGCCCAACTATAAAAACAGAGATTGTTTTTTCATTTTATGTGTTTAAAATAATGTGTGGCTTATTCACTATTTTGTAGTTTGCCTTTGGGTTAACCAGATCTGACACAAATTCTTTCTTTGTGATTTGCAAGGTGTCTGAGTCTCGTGTATGTGTGTGATTGAGAAGGAGAAAGGAGAGACAGAGAGAGAAAAATAACAACTGCCTTATAGAAATATAAAGGTCAGAGATAGTGTGTGTATATAGCAGCTGAATCCTGGTACTTATAGAGGCTCAGTAAAGCATTGTTATTTATATTATTTCCATTGTCATTGCCATTACTTTTATCGCTATATTTTTGAAGTTAAGAAACCTATACACTATAGCTGAAGAACTTTCTTTCCACTGATGGTCAATAACAAACAAAAATAAACTTCAAAAATACATAGTCCCCAAGCAAAAAAACCTGTCTTTTTCCTTAAAGAAGCATGTAATTGGGTCAATAAACACTGTATTGTAGACTTACTAAGTACTAAGATTCTGTATGTGTGTATCTGTAGAGGGGGTGGTATCTGGTTTTAAAATTAAGGACACAGATTATGAAACTATTTGAGAAACACTAATAATTTTAAATTGAGTTTTATATTATGTCTAGTTAAGGATTGGTAGTATAGAATGAGAGTACAGAGAAAGAAGTAGCAGAATAAACTACTACTTTTGCCATGTGTTTGGGAGAATGACAAACACATACAGCAAAAAAAGAAATAGTAGTATAAGGAAGCAGAAAATGAGACCAATTGGAAATGAAGTAGACAGGCAAAAAGTGTCCCATGTAAATAAGTTGTCCCAAAGTCACAACTTAATCTTCCACTGAGGTATGTTACCCTAAGAGACTAGTGTTTGATTTTCTTTTACCGATTTATTATTCTACCAATAAACAAACTAATAATGCTACAGCCTTCCCTCCTAATAGGTTAACTAGTGAAGATTGTTAACAAAAACATTATTCTTTGAGTTGCAGTAGTAGTAATCAGGACAGCTGTCTTTCCAAAGGCTGGAAATAAATGAAGCTGAAATCCATATTTTCCCTTTGACTAAGAGCTAAATGTTCCCCTCTGTTTCTTCTTCACATTTTCATTTAATAGAAGCTTTTCCCTTAACCTCCACATAATTGTTGCATTGACCAATATGTTCCATTATCTCCATAAAACACACAAGCTGCACTCATTGAACTCCAACTGCTCAGAGCTCTCCAATCACACACAAGTAGACCAGCACTGACTACACTCATCTGCCAAGGTTCATGATTATAAACAGTCACAGGAGTTTGGTCCTAAATCTGTTTATAAGCCAGTTGTGTTTGCTATTGTAGTATTAGCATTAGTTATGGTGACGAAATGTGAGAATGATAAACAAAATTGCTTTCGATGAAAATTGATGTTACAAAAAGGTGGGGAGATCAACTGAAGTTGTCTGAAGTTCTTATTTTAGATAAAAGAAATGAAAAATTGAAATTGTAGAAGACTCATTACTTGCATAGCTTAGGTAAGAAATATTGTGTAGAATTCCAATCAATAGACATTTAAGAAAAAGTCGTGACCTTACAGCAAAAGACTAGCATATGAGTACAGGCACTTGTTTTATCTTGAAATAGAATACTAAGGTATAAATGTATCATTTTTATGGTTCCCTTTACTAACAGAACTTTTCAACTCATTCACCTACTGCTTTTGGTCATGACAGAAGTATTCATATGTGCTATGTTCTCATGACATATACCACAGACAACACTCTTGCTACCAGGAAATCATCAACAAATGGGGTTTAGGAAGTAGACTGCACATGCCATATGGTCATCAAGAGCAGAGGAAGTTTTGCAAATAAAAAGGGAATACTCACTACAGGTAAAATATATATGTTAAAGAGTGGTTAATGTCTCTTCTGAGTCATTAGTCCTCCTTAAGAATAATAGGAGCAATTACAAAACAAATGTCATATATTTTTGTACAAGTCTTAGATTTCTTGAAGATCAGTTACATAAATTTGGGACTCTATGACAAAATGCAAGAAAATAATGCTACTTATATACACTAAACCATAATGAAAATGATGTATCCATGATTATCAACAAAAGCTGGCCACTTAATTAAATGTAAATGTACCATGGAATTATAAGGATTATATATGCATATTTTCTACAGAAATATTTTTTTTAATTTTGAATAAAAATATTATCCATTTTATAAGTTTTAAAATAAATGTTTATGAATATAAATATGCAGATTTTTAAAACAATTTATTTCAATAAATGTTGAGTAATACTAAGTCTCATCTTTAAACCTACGTAGTTATAGTTCACAAAATTACAGTCCTCATAACAAGTAAAAATAACTTATTAATGGGGAAAAAGAACATTGGTAAAATTGGTAAGTAAAAAAAACAAATTAAATGCATAGTTGCTGAGATCCTATCTTTAAAGTAATCCTAGAAACTTCTCTACAAATGATTTGTGCATTTTTACTCCAACCTCTACAATAAAATACATAATAGTGTACTTAGTCTGTACTGCCACCAAGTGCTTAAACCAATTACTTTTAAGATTCTTGCAGCAGCTATAAGCAAATTCTTTCACTGCTATGAGTAGCAATTTTGAAAGGCTAAAAGCAAACCATATCAACCATGAATGGCTGTAAGAGCACCAAAATTTTGACATGAAAATAAAATCTCAAAAGTATTAATAAAACATCAAAAATCCTACCAGCTCACTGGAAGTTCATGGAGTCTAAAAATATTTTTCAGCTTGTAGTCAAATTTTGCTGGAGAAAGATTTTCTTTACAAACATTCAGGTTTGCATTTGGTTGCATATCTATGGGAAATTCTGAATCCTAGAGAAAAATATTAAACAAGAGCTCTGCGTTAAATATTAAAATCACTGCACATGTTGATACTCTGATTTAATACTAAATTACAACATAAACATTATAACTATATTTGCCCAGAATTTACATGAAGTCCTTCATTTCCAATTTCAGTTTTGAGGAAAATATTTTAAAAGATAAAATTTTAAATAAGGCACATATCAATTTATATAACCAATTATAATTCTAAGCCTCAAGCTACATGTTAAAAATTACTTGAAAATACTCCCTATTTGAATTCCAATGAAGCACAATATAGCATTGTCATATATTATTGGTTGTCTTTTTTTAAATAAGATTTCCAGGCCCAACAACAACGCCAGCAGTCAAAAGTCCATAATTCTTATGCCCCTTTTGTCCCCTATAAATGGCAGACTAAAAACACTTTCATTGCGTAACAAAGTTAACATTTGCTAATTGATTGATTATGATTTTCTTTTTAAATCTAAGGACACAGGACTAATTTAAAAACACTTACTGAAAGTAAACCGTTTCTATTAATCCCGTCAAATCACACACATTAGAATCCACATATCATTTCTTGGTCACCTCCCTCTCCACCAAGCAAACCATAGCTACAGATCAAAGAGCATTTTCAGTCCATGAGAAAGTAGTCCTTGCTCAGTGGAAAAAAGACATGCTACGAATAAGCACTCAACACATAATGAAGGAGAGATTAATTACTTAACTCGACTCAAAAAAACAAGTTATGAATCCCCTACTAGCTAATTCTGTAAAGTTGCTCTGACAGAAGGCTCATATCATGAATTTTTGCACCCATTTATGCATTCAAAAATTATTTATCTCAAACATTGTTTTAGGCATGAAAAATCTTTCTTTTTTCTTTTTTCTTTTTTTTTCTTTTTTCCATTTTTGAGACAGTCTCACTTTGTCGCCCAGGATGGATTGCAGGGGTGGGTTCTTGGCTCACTGCAACCGCTGCCTTCTAGATTCAGGCAATTCCCCTGTCTCAGCCACCGGAGTAGCTGGGACTACAGGCGCATGCCACCACGCCCAGCTAATTTTGTGTATTTTTAGTAGAGACGAGTTTCACTATATTGGCCAGGCTGGTCTCAAACTCCCGACCTCCGGTGATCCGCCTGCCTTGGCATCCCAAAGTGGTGGGATTACAGGCGTCAGCACCGCCTCTGGCCTGAAATAATATTTTTCTAATTAACAAAGTAGTACATATTAATATAGAAATTTTGTGCATTTCATAATACTACAAAAACCTAAAAGCTAGCTTAGTCTCACCACCCAGATATAATTACTATTAACACTGTGGTTTAATTACTTAATATTTTTCCCATCTTTCTCTCTCAAGTTTTACAAAATTGGAACCACGCTCTATTATCTTCTCTCATTTTTCATTTATCAGTGCTGCATTTTCACATCATTTAGTCTGTTTTGAAGGAATGATGAGTGCCACGTTTTACTTATTCAGTGATTTTTGTCTCTCTTATGGTCATCAACGTTATGAACAGAGTATTTGGTCTATAAATCTGCACTTCACTAAGTATTTCCTTAAAGCATAGTACCAGAACTGTAAATAATTCAAATAGAATAAATATTTGAGAAAAACATGATCCCTTTTCACAGACTGCTTTTTAGAAAAGCTGTACCAATTATACTTCTGCCAGTCACGTAGCACTGGGTGCAATTCACTATATCTTTGTTAATGGCATATACACACACATGTGCATACATATACACATGCACTTAAAACAATCCATTCTTTCAATAGTTATTTCCTTTGAATAATATTTATTATTGAGTGTCAATTTTATGATAGGCACCAGTTTCAGTTCTTATAATATATCACTAAACAAAATAGACAAAATTCTCTCCCTTATGGAGTTTACATTCTAAAACAAGCAACACCTAGGGCAATATAAATAATGAACATATATACTATATTATATCTACAAAACAAAAAACCTGTGAAAAAATTTATTGCCAATTCATATATAATTAAGTTAAACATTTCTATATTTGTTATTTCTTTGCTTTACTTCATATTTTCTGAATTGCATATTTATGCCGATTGCTTATTTTTCTATTGTTTTGCTTGTATTTTATTTTAATGATGATGCTTGGGTTGGAAATAGGGGAAGGAATTTCTAACATAAATTAGTATGTTAGAAAATATAGCAAGATGGATCCAAATCCAGTCTTATATAGTTGTTTGTACTGCATGAAAATATCTGAAACCACAAACACAGCAATTTTTATAAGCATTGTTAAACCAATCATCATATAAAACAAATAGAAAGAGGTATTTAATAAAACCTAATCAACTAGGTCCTGCTGCCTATTTAGTAGAGCTAAAAAAAAATAGTAAAATATGATGATAACTGAACAACTATTTATAAAAAGATTTACATCAAGAGCAGCAAAACCCTAATAAAAACAGTCCAATCTAAGCATAGATTCACTTGCAGAGGTAAACATCAGATTTCTTATATCACCCAGCCTATATGCTGAAATATTTCAGGAGACAATGGCCAATACATGGGTAGGCAAGATCAGTGACATAAATGTGAGATATATAAATAAGAACAATGTGTACAGGATGGAAGAAGTAAAACAAATCTTAAAATTATTCTTCCAAGCAAAAAAACCATAGCCTTTTTTTGTGTTGACAAGGTACAATTGGAAGGCAAAGCTAAGCTCTCAGCAGTGTGCTTTAATAGTTCATTGGTCTCAACTCAAAGTGCACATTGAACTCACTAGGCAGCTTTTTAAAAAAATACCAGTATCACTGAGTCACACCCCAAATAAATTAAATAATGATTTGAGAGTAAGGCTCTGGCACTGGTGTTTATTTTAAAGATTTCTACGTGAAATAGAAGTCAGGGTTAAAATAATGGCTTTCCTTAGCAACTCAGCTCCACCACATACGAGTGCAAACTCAGGCAAGCTATTTAACAAGCTTTCAAAACATATACACACACACACACATATATGCATATATATATATATATATTTCTATCTGTAAAATGCAAACCCAATCATACCTGTCTTAAACGCTGCATGAAGATTGAGATAATCTCTGCAAAGCATTCATCACATGTTAGTCACCTAACACATTCATTAAATTCTTAGTAAACGTTATCTGTTTATATTGCTATTTTTATTATTTCTGCAAGTAGTGGCACATTAATTTCAGCTGGTAAGCAAATTCATCATGAATTATTTCATACTCCACTTATTTTTTATGAAATAATTCTATATTAATCAAATTATAAGTTTAATATTCTCCTGGTATATTGATTGAAGCAGACTTGATTTTGACATAATCTTACCTCCCCAAATCCCAGTTTCATAACCAGTTAATGGCTGGTTATCTCTGTATGTCCCAGTACCAATAATAAAATAAGTTATTGCTTTATGGGCCAATTGGAATTAAACATAGTCTTATGTTTAAAAAAATGGAAGACCTGTGCTTGGCCTGTTTCACTTAACATAATAACTTTCAGTTCCATCCATGTTGCTGCAAATGACAGGATTTCATTCTTTTTTATGGCTGAATAATATTCCATTATATATATACCATATTTTCTTTTTTCACTCACCCATTCACGGGCACTTAGGTTGATTCCATATTTCAGCTATTATGAACAGTGCTGCAATAAACATGAGAATGCAGACATCTCTTCATTATATTAAGTGAAATATGCCAAGCACAGAAATACAAATATTGCATGTTCTCACTTATATGTGGAAGCTAAAAAAGTGGATCTAAGAAGATAAAGAATAGATTGGTGGTTACTGGAGGCCGAAAAGGTCAGTGGAGAAGGAAGGATGAAGAGAGGCTGAATAATGGTTACAAATACATAGCTTCATAGAAGAAATAAGACCTAGTGTCCTGTAGAACAGTAGGGTGACCCTAGTTTACAATAATCTATTGTACATTTCAAAATAGCTACAAGAGAATAATTCAAATATTTCTAACATAAAGAAAAGACAAACATTTAAGGTGATGGGTACCTGAATTATACTGATATGAACGTTACAAATTATATAAATTATCACTTGTACCCTGAAAAAAATAAAAAATAATAAAATATTTTAAATGTCAAAGACCCAATGGGCACCTCTTTCTTAACTTGAGTGACACATCAGTTAGGCATCCCATGGGAAGCCAAGCTATCTACTGGGCCTCTTTCCCCATGAGTCCCTTGGGTACCCAGGTTTCCCCCCAACCCTAGATCTGTGCCACTCAACAGAGGTCTCTGCTTCCCTATCTTGTTATTTGCTGTTCATTGAACTAACATTCACAGGAATTGCCCCAAACAATTTGTAAGTGGAAGTGAAAAATTATTCAATCAGGCATTCTGTCAACATTTGAGTATCTACTCTATTTCAGGAATTATGTTAATTACCAGGTCACAAATATAAGTAGAATACATTCCTTCTACTCTAAGGATTCACAGTCCTGTGAAGGGTACAGCAAAAGTGAAAAAAAAAATCATTGGAAAAAGCTAGAGTAAAATATGCAAAAGATAATAAGCAAATAAATAAGCAATAAAACTGTTGGAAAAGGGGAGATAAAATTATCATTAATTACAGATATTACGATTACATTGATAGATGATTAGATAGACAAGCCAAAAGGAAAAAGAAACTAAAAAAGCCATTTTACTATGGCTGACTACATCTGACAAATTATAAAATTAGTAAGTTTCGCTAGTATGCAATGAATTAACAGAAGATATAAAAGAAAAATATTGTCTGGGTGCAATTCCTCATGCCTGTAATCCTAATATTTTGGTAGGCCGAAGCAGGTGGATCGCTTGAGCTCAAGAGTTCGAGACCAGCCTGGACAATGTGGTGAAACCCATCTCTACAAAAAATACAAAAATTAGCCAGGTATGGTGGCTCCCACCTGTACTTCCAGTTACTTGGGGGGCTAAGGCAGGAGGACCGCTTGAGCCCAGGAGGTGAAGGTTGCAGTGAGCCAGGAC